CCCCCCCGTGTCCGAGCGCGTGCCTTCCCCACGGCGCCCAGCGCAGCGCGCTCTGCCCCCGCCGGCTGGCGCACTGCCCCCCGCCCCGCCCCGTGTGCAGTGATCATGCCTAAAGGGATGTCACGACACCTTCCGTCTCGTCCTTGTTCGGCCACAGGGAGTGCAAAGGGAGGGCCAGGGCGGGGTGGGGGCGGTCAGGGAGCGCTCAGGCTTGGGCCGGTGTGGCGGCCTGGCTTTCGGGCGCCACGACACAGGCGGGTCCTGCGGGGTCCAGAGGTCTCGGCGATGGGCTGCGGGCGACAGGGAGGCGGCGGCGGCGGCTGCGCGCGCGGCAGGCGGTGATCGCAGAGCCCAACGCCAGGCAGGTGGCCAGGCTGGCGAGGAAGGAGACGGGCCCAAGCGCATAGATCACTGCCAGGTCTCGCGCGGCGAGGCGCTTCGTGCAGTGTCGGAAGGCGGCGTCGGGGAAGGCGCTCAGGGGACTGAGAGTCCGGCGCCCGGGGGACACGCAGCGCAGGGTCTCGGCCTCTGTGGGAGACAGAGGCAGCGTCAGGCGGAGGCCCCAATGGCCCACCTGGGCCGTCCAGGTCGCGCGCAGCTCACCTGACACGCGTGGATGCAGCCGCAGCCAGTTGCAGAGCGGGCGCAGGGCGCAGCCGCAGGCCCAGGGGTTGCCGTGCAGGCCCAGCGCGTCCAGGGCGGGCAGGCGGGCGAGCAGTCCGGGCCCGAGCGCCGACAGCGCGTTATCCTGCAGGCTGAGCGCGCGCAGCCCCGGGAGCGCGCCCACCACCGCGGGCTCCAGCAGCGCCAGGCGGTTGCCTGCCAGCGAGAGGGAGCGCAGCGCGCGCAGCGGCGCGAAGGTGCCGGGCGCCAGCGTCTCCAGCTGGTTGGCGCTCAGGTCGAGGAGCTGCAGCGCGCCAAGACCCCAGAAAGCCCGGGAGTGGACGGATCGCAGCCCGTTCTCGCGGAGGTCCAGGAGCCGCAGGGCGTGTGCGCCCGCAAAGGCGCCTGGCGGCAGCGCGCGCAAACAATTACGGTCAAGCAGCAGTGCGTACACGCGCCAGCTCAGGCCCGCGGGCACGAAGGGCAGCGCCAGGGCGGAGCAGTTGGCCTGGCCCCCCGCGGAGCACGCGCACGCCTCGGGGCATTCGCGGGCGCCAGGGGGCTCTGAGGGCGCGACTCCAGGCGGCTCGGGGGCCCAGGCTGGCCTCAGCGACAGTAGCAGCAGCAGCGACAGCCGCGGCAGAGGCGTCGAGCAAAAGGAAAGGCCCCACATAGGGCCAGCTCTGGGACCCAAGGTGGGGTCCTTGCTGCCTGGGTGTGCTCGGAGCCCAGGTGTCCCCGAGACTCGTCCCTGTGGCGCCTGAACAAACACTAACTGTCCAGCCTGATACCTGCCCTTCCTGTCCCAGGGCTGGTCCCGCGCCCAGGGCCGGGGCCAGGCATGCAGCCAACGCCCAGCGCTGCAGCTGCCAGTCCCAGAGCACCAGGCCCACAGCTCTGCATCTCCTCTGTGGGGTGAGACCACCGGAGCCTCGTGAGGCTTGGGCAGCAGGACCATGCCCACCCGCACCCCCAGTAAGGACCCTAGTGTGTGAGCCGCTATGGCCCACTCACACCCAGTCGGGTCGGGCACAGGGACCCCGTGTTAGGGGTGTGCTGGTCCCCTGCGGTGGTGGATGGCAAGTGGGGCAGGAGCCTAACCAGCCCGACCTCAGGGCGCAGACCTTGCAGTGGAGGGGAGGGTGCGGGGGGAAAGTGTGTCCCCCACTCCCTGAAACCTGCAGGGCACAGTGCGTGCGGAGGGAGAGGACGTCAGCGAAGTCCTGTGTGAGGCTTTGATGGGGGAAGGGGCCCAGGGTGGCCGAGGCTCCTCAGGACGAAGCAGCAGGGAGGAGCTGGGCCCCCAGTGTGAACACAGGGGGTCCGGTTCTCTGCCTGGGGGAGGGGCACCCCGCATCCACTTGCCTCCAGGGGCCCCGTCCGTTTGCAAGGAGGACAGCACACAACCACTAAGTAGTTTTAATTCCTGTGCCCTGCACTCTGCCCTACGAGGGGGCTGAGGGTGGGGACAGAATGGGAGGGGCTCCTCTAGAACATCCTCCGTGGGGACCTCCAGGTCCAGGTGGGATTCCACGTGCACCAAGCGCAAGTCCATGCAGTCTTCCTGGGCCCCGTGCTGCTCCAGCAACCTGCACGACAGGCTGGGGACTCAGTGCCACAGTGAGCTGCCCTCCCAGTGACGGCATGGACGGGATACCCACCCTGTGCCGGAACTCAGCTGCTGTCCGTGTGTCTGAGACAGGTCTCACTGGGGGACAAGGGTGGGTATGACTCTGGGAGCCTCGCTGGCTCCGTGAGCCCGGCAAGTGCCCCTGGCCCCTGCCCCGGTGCACACCTGGGAAATGTCATGTCATTCCCGCCACTGGTGACAGCCCACCTGTGACCAAGGGCCCAGGGCCAGCAGCGTGGCCTCCATCCTGTCCCACCACTCCACCCCGAGCTCACGCACTCCTTGGCTCGGAGGACACCGATGGCCACAATGACCAGGGCACAGAGGCAGCCGGCGCTGACACCCCCGGCACCACGATGAGAGCGATGACAGCTTCTCAGCTGAGGCCAGGGCTGCAGTCACAGTTGGTCTAAGCTGCGGAGACAGGAGCACGTGGCCAGGGCTGTCGCCCATCGGTGGAGGACCCCAGGTCTGCCCTGCGCCAGCGGCCCCCAGGATATGGGGGTCGCCTGGCCTGGAAAAGGGCAGGACCCTGTCTAGGGAGCAGTGGGAAGCACACCTGCAGCAGGGATGAGCGAGGACAAACGTATCAGGCCCAGGAGGCTGCCAGTCAGGCAGGAGGCGGGCTGGGGATGGAGGACCATGTCCAGCCCCAGCCCTGCCGTTTGGCCCTGGACGGAACTTGTAGGAAGGTGCTGACCTCACAGTGGGGCTGGGGCCGGCGGGGGCAGGGCTTCAGGGCCCAGGCCCCGCTCACCCTGGGGCACTGGAGTTTCAGGAGCCCCGGGTGGGATTCTGGGGAGGGGCGCAGGGTGGGACACAGGGCCCTGGGGACCCTGGCCAGGTCTGAGGCACGCAGTGTGGGGCTGGGGCTCTGGCGTGGGGACAGCAGCCTTGCAGGAGTCCTGCTGCTCTCCCAGAGCAAAGGGTGGCAGAGCTGGGTCTGGGATGGGGAGACCGAGGAGGAAGGGGTGGGCGGACATTTGTCCAGTCGCCCTCATTGCTGCTTCTGGCAAGGTCAGGACCACACTGCCCACATAGCCCGGGTTGTGAGGGCTGCTGGCACCAAGAACCCTCAGTCAGATGAGGTCCAGGGTCAATGGCCACACCTGGCTGAGCAGGATCCCCACCATGCCTGGAGAGCAGCCCTCCGGGAGCAGCTGCTCAGAAGGGGCTGCAGGTGCCACCCAGGGGTCCTGGTCCATCATTAATTTGGAGTCCGCTGTGCCAGCAGTCAGTTCTTCTGCCAACTGGTCAGCCAGTCTCCTCAGGCTGGTGCGGTCAGGGTTAACCTCCTGGGTCATGTTCCTGGACCTGCTGTTTCAGGCTGATCAGAGCCACCCCATCCAGCCTCCTCCTCAGGACCTGCCAAGCCAAGGTGGCACCAAGAGCAAATGCAACCCCAGGCTAGTGGGGCTCTGGCCTCCTGCCATCACAGGGGGTGCAGCCTGACCCGGAGGCCCTGGTTCCTGGAGCACCCTGAAGGCAGACACAGGCCCCCCTGCAGGGGTCGCGGGGACAGGCCAGCAGCCATGCTATGACCCAGGAGGCTCTGATCTTCAGGACACTTCCAAAGGAACACAGGACACAAGGTGTGCCCTCAGCCAGAAGCTGGCACCCCCACCCTGCCAGGCCAGTCCAGCAGGTTTACATCCTGGTTAGGACAAAGGCACACCCTGCCAGAGGCCAGGTGGTGGCTACAGGTGGCAGGATCCAGACAGGGCCACCTCAGAGGGGGCCTGTGGGCACCACAGCCTTAAGGTCATGGCTAGATCTCAGGGGGACCCAGTAAGACAAGGGCACCAGCACAGGCTTGCAGTTGGCAGGGAGCAGAATCCTTGGGTCATGTGGGAGACACTGCCCTCTCCTGCACCAAGGCAAGGAGAGCAGGGAAAGGGGAGGGGAGACCCTGGCAGGGACCCAGTCAGGTGCAGCACAGGCCAGAGCTGGGCAGGGTCATGGGGGTGGCCGCTCTGGGCCCGCAGCAGCAAATCTGAGGACACCGAAAGGGGACCTGGAGCCAAGGACACAGTTCAAGCTGGGCGTGGCTCAAGGCTGAGGAATGCACCTCAGGCAGGACAGCAGCATGGGTTCCAAAGGGCTTTTGTCCCCCCCAGAAGTCAGTGCCTCAGCCCAGAACACTTCCTGCCCGGGAACAGCGGCTCTAGGCCTGGGGTGCGGGTAAGCTCAGAGCAGGCCTATGGCGTGGATCCCCGGTGATGGCAGTGCTGGCACCTCCTGGACTGAACCTGTCCCTAAGATGCAGGCAAAGGCGGAGCTGGCTCACCCCACCCGTTGGTTTGGAGGGGCTGGGGGTCATCTGCCTTTCCAGGTACACGTGGCCCAGGCCTGGTGGGCCAATACCCAGGCCCTCTGGCTGCCAGGTCACATTTACCGCAGATCCCGAAGTCCTTCACCTTTGGCCTCAGGGTTGGTGGAGTCCCCATGTCCTAGCAGCACCTGGCCTGGCACGGCGCCCAACACAGGAGCCCAGAGGTGGAAAGTGAGAGCTTCCAAGGGCCAAGAAAGCAGGGGCTAGAGGCCAGCCAGGTACTGTCGAGCCCACAGGGACGGCCACCCCTTGCTCATGATGACCTGGGTCTCTAGGGTAGACACAGGACTCAGTGGGGCTGGCTGCACAGGTGTCCCTTAACCTACCGTGGGGGGTCCAGGCCCTGTGGACCAAGGCAGAATGGCCGCTCTACGGGCAGCCTCAGTGTGTGGGGCCTACACAGGCACCTAGACGCAGGAGGATGGACTGATGTACTTTAATGTGAGATCTGGGGGCAGAGCAGGGGAGGGCAGGGAGAGACATGGGGGCCAGCAGGAGAGTAGGAACACGGGGGTGGGGCACAGGGGGCACCCCGAGCCCTCTGGGGTCACACTGGGCAGGGCCTAGTGGGTGCTCGTCAGCTGCAGCTCTTGGGCAGGCGGTAGACACCAGCAGAGTAGATGAGCTGCTGGTCGCGCACCTTCTTCTGCAGGTAGCCCTGGAGCTCCTGCAGGTCTATCTCGGCCAGTGCGGGGCCCGTCATGACAAACATGCGCAGCATGCTGTAGATCCGCTCCAGCGAGAGGCTCTCCAGGTTGGTCAGCATGGCATGGATGTACGTCCAGAAGAGCTGCAGGGACAGAGCAGTGGATCAGGGGCTGCTCTCTGGCCCTCGCCCGCCTGCCCGCCTACCAGACGTGGCCAACGCACTAGCAGCTCCTCCTCCTTCTGGTCAGCCTGCGAGGCCATGCCCGAGTCGCTCTCTTCATCACTGTCGATGAGCACCATGTTGTCACGGTCCTGTGGCCGCTCTTCCTCGATGACAGAGAAGGTGCCCGGAGGCTCTTCCCGCAGCACACCCTGCTGCAGCCACACAGACATGCGCCGCCGCAGCAGTGCCACTGGCATCTTCACCACCTTGCTCAGCTCTTCCAGGGTCCAGCTGGCTGTGGGCAGAGTATGGAGACGCTGGGGAAGCCACACCTGCCCCGCCTCCTGGCAGCCCCACTCTGCCTCTCTGAAGTCAGCAGGACCCACAGCACCCTGCCGCCCTGGCAAAGGGAAGGGCCTGCTGCCTGCACAGCCCAGGCTGCCCAACCCTGTCCACAGCGGGCCAGAGAGTTGGGCCCAGCATTGCGTGGTCGGGAATGCTGGCTCACCTTGGTCCTGGAAGTACAGCAGGACCACCGCCTGCACGGGTGTCACCGCCACAGACAGAGTGCGGTCAGCTAGCTCTACGTCCATGGTCACCAGGCCCAGGGTGTGCTTCCAGCTGAGGGTCCGCATGGCCTATGGAGAGCAGGGGTCAGCATGGGCAGTGCCAGGCCTGGGTGACTTGGCACCGGGTGAGAAGGGGCTCCATCTCCTCAGCCACTGGCACAGATGGAGGCCACTGCCATAAGCTAGCTTGCACCCCCAAAGGGCATGTGCACGTCTGAACCCCTGGCACTTCAGAAGGTGACCCTGCTTGGGAAGAGCTGATCAGATGGGATCAGCCAGCAGGAGGATGCTGAGGACTGGTGTCCCCACGAGGAAAAGGACGAGATTAAAACGAGTGCATGGGAGGCGGCCACATGATGACGGGGCCAGTCCTGCAAGGACGCTGCCACATTCAGGAGACAGCAGAGACTGCTGGGGGGCAAGGACCCCCTGCCTGTATGGGGGGGGGGACAGCCCAACACCTTTACACTGGGCTCCAGTCTCCGTACCTGACACCTCACCTCCATCCTTCTAAGCCATCTGGCTGGCGATGCTTTATTACAAAATCACGAGACAGGACAGACCCCGTGCTGGCTCTGACAACTACCTACCTGTGTTCCCCCCAAAATAAGCCCTAACTAGGGATCAAGAGTTGGCCCTGGGCCATGGATGTAGTTCAGGGGCGCAGTGGCCGCCTGGCAAGCACAAGGTCCTGACTTCGATCCCCAATACCGGAAGGAGAAAAACACAGAGCTGGCCCCAGTCAGCTGGGCCTTGCCTTTCCTGCCCTCACAGAGCAGCCACCGAGCAGCCACCGAGCAGCCACTGAGCCAGAGAATGGTTAGGTGTAATCTTGTGCATGAACTGGGTGTCACTGTGGTAACAACTGGCTCTTAATTACAGCTAGTTTCTTTTCTGGATAGGTCTTATTTTCAGGGAAACATGGAATCAGCTTTGGAAATGGGCAATGGGTAGAACCAGAACAGCAAGGTGTACAACAGTGAAAGCCCAGATTGCCCTGGAGAGAGAACTGGACAAACACAGACGGCAAAAATGATGGAAGGTGAGGCCTGGCGCTGCCTTGGAGAATAACGTACTGGGTATAGAGTGCTGGAGAAATAAGAACACAAGGTGCTTCTCCTGAGTGCTCGGGGGGAACCAGGGCTGTGCACTGGAGACTGGAGGAGAGACAGGAAAACCTGGCTCACAGGGTCCTTCTGAAGGCAGGAAACCAGGCCTCGCAAGGGAAGAGCATGGACGTCTACCTGGAGACTTCAAAGCAGAATGTGGAAGGTGCAGTGGCTTTTTCCTTGCTGCTTAGAGGAAAATGTGAGAGAACAGAGACCGAGAAAGGACATGTTAAGTAAAAGGGAGCCATGACCTGCTGACCAGGCAGCTCTGCAGACACAGCCAAGGTGGCCAGGTGGACAAGCACCTGCTGAAGAGAGGCAACTTGTGGGTCTGACCAACCCGTGCAGCAACCAGAGCGGATGTGGTGTCTGCGAGCTGTCTGTGGAGGACCCTCCAGCCTGCCAGCCTGGATACTAAGAGCTCCAGGAGAAGCCAGCATGGCTTTTGAGAACTTTGTACCGGCAGCAACACTAACTCCCTGACTGAAAACGGACAGAAGCGGGCCGGGGATTTAGCTCAGTGGTGCCGTGCCTGGCTGGCAAGCACAAGGTCCTGAGTTCAATTTCTGGTACCAAAAAAAGAAAAAGGACAGAAGCTCAACTCAAGGGAAATGAAATGTTGAAGGACAGTCACAGATGCCCACATGGAGCCAGAGCAGGACTGCAGGCCTCAGGGCTTTGTGAGCCCCCTGCTGGATGCAGACTTGCTTGGCGCACACAACCCTTTGTTTCTGCCTCTGGAGACCAGAATGTCAGTCCTAGGCTGTCCCAGCTTGCATTTGGGGAGTGGAAATCTGCCCTGCATGGCTTGGCCTCCAGGTCTCATCCATACCTGCCTGAGACACAGTTGAGACACTGAGATCCGGGACTTAGGACATGCTGAAAGGGCTGACTTTGAGCTGAATATATAT